ATAGCCGTTCTTATTTCGCTTTCTATTTCGCCGACGAGGTTGTCATCGTCACAAACGTAATGGTACGAATTGGAGCGCTTTTCGACTTTCGACTCTTCTGCACGAGGAACACTACGTAGGTGCTGAAATAGATGGAGCTTATCCAGAAACCCTGCAATCCGTTGATGACAGTAAACGCGTAGCGGGCGCCGTTCACGTACGGGGTGTTGATCGTGAAATACTGAATGACCTGAAGCGAAATATCGGTGCGGTCAGTTGGTCGCTTTAGCACCGCAGCCAATCAATCATTCAACTTTTCTAATGGCCATTTTCCGGGGTCGTTCGCCATTATAGTAACGTGCGAGGAATGAACAAAAAACACACGAACAACAGGAACATAAGAACATTCCGTCGCGCTTCACTTCACTTACCCACGGTGCTCCTAAGATGAACTGCGTAGACACCAGCAAGAACACCTTAGCCATCATCGTGCGTCGGCGGGATGTTTTCGAGCTATGCCTTCTGACGGAATTGGTGCAGAACAGCGCCTTCGTCAAGAGTGCGGTGATCACGAAATCAGCGATGATCAAAATACTGATCGGAAGGAACGTCGCTAAGCCGACGTAGTTCGGCCTTATCCAACAGCTAAAATTATTTACTCCCTTTAAACGGTAAAATTTATTAATCTGGCCCAAAACCATCGAAAAGTGTAGAAGACAGTTTTATGATCATACCTGTCAATGAGACCCCGCTTATATGAAACAGGTGACATTCGGAGACGGTGAAAGACGGCGTTTGTCACTTCATTTAACACAGATGAAGGTACAAAATTTAGATCAGGGGATGGATTACCATGCCCCCATTAATTACTCATTCTGTTGAATAATATATTCAATTATGATGGTCCGGTCGGAGTGGATGGCCGAGAAAACACAGCAAGCCAATAGCCTTGGATGAACGAAGGCAGCATGCGTGAAGGAAACATTCTGTTCTTGAGTTGGTAGTCATACGGAAAAGGGTACGAAAATGGCTTATTGATACACAACGCAATACTTGTGGTTTATCGGCAATGGACCAATAAAAATGCTTCGACAAGTACCTCATAAGCCTTGTTTAAGAAAAGGTGGTAGTTGCAGCGGCTGCTTCGTTTGGATCTGGGAGGTCAGTAGAAATGGTGCCTAATTTTCCAATACTGTATATGCGCGTTTTGAAAAAATGATTTGCCCCTTGTTGTGCATGATAGCTGATCTTAAGTCAACAGAAGCCGACGAGCGCAAATTTAATATAAAACAATAAATGTACGGATCATTGAATGAATGACCGAATGCTTTCTTTTGTTAGTGATTCTCGGTTGAGGGTTCTTGAAAAATGGGTAATGAGGGTGAACACTGAACCGTTGTTCCTCAGCTACAATTTAATGAAATCTTATGAGAGCAGACCTACTGTAAATGTACTATACATATCGAAGGTCTCTGAGTTAGTCAGAAGCTACATCAACAACG